AACCCAAAATGGCAAGAGGGGCGATCATGGTTACTTTATAACAACAACATGATGACATGCACAATTTGCATTTCGCACGGGAAACATAGCAGTACCGGCGATAATCTCAAGAATAAACACTTCTTTTTGACAGGATGCACTAACTTTAAACTTAGCACAATCTCAGATCATGAGAAGAGTAAAAGTCATGTTAATGCAAGTATAATTGCAGAGGCAAAGCAAAATCCAACAGAGGCTCCTGCCCATAAGTCTATTATTTCTTTAAATGAAAAAAATAGAGCTCAACTAAATTTAAAATTCAGAAACATGCATGCAATTATCAAACACAACCGACCCATGTCAGACTTTTCATGGTTAAATGAACTTGATGAAGCAAAAGGTTTAGGTAATGGGGAAAGTTACAACAACCGTTGCTCTGGAACACTATTTATGGAGAATATAGCTGCAGTTGAGAAGGGCAACTTACAGAAATTTGTTAGTGAAATAAATTTTTTCTCCCTTACTATGGATGGATCGACGGATGACTCTATTACGGAACAGGAAACTATTTATATGAGAACCAATCACAAAGGGAAAATATTAAACAGATTTATTTGTATAGGAGAGCCAGAATCAACATGTTCTGCTGATTTATACCAGTTCGTAATCAGCCAGATGAAAGAAAACAACATCTATGGGGACATGGGCAAACTAGTGGGGTTCGGCTCTGATGGAGCGTGCAACATGACAGGAGTAAAACATGGACTTGTCACCTTAATAAAACAGGACTACCCAGTAGTTGTCGGCATCCACTGTTTGGGACATCGTCTGGAGCTAGCTTTTAAGGACACCCTTAAAAAAGACAAAACATGTGACAAACTTGTGACACTCCTGTTAGTTTACTATTTCTTCAAAAACAGCCCAGCTCAGAGAAAAAAACTGAAAAAAAACATTTAAGGTAAGGAATCATCTAAAATCTAAAAAAAATAAATTTTAAATAAACATTTTGGTAATAAGTACATTTTTAATTTTAAAAGCAAAAGTATCCATGCCAAATTGCCAAATAAGGGGAAATCTGTGGACAAAAAATAAACCGAAAATGATAGAGACACAAACAATGTTTATGATATGTTGTATTTTATTTTATAGCAACATATTTTTTGCAATATTGAATAACCGTCTGTGTCATGTTAACTTTTAGATCTTGAATATAAAAGGCCAGTTACCACTGTGTAGGAGGGAGCAGGTGGATGCCTCATCTAAGGAAAGCACTGTCATCATTATTTCAAAGTTACCCGGCATACATCACCCATCTTCAGACCATGTCGCACACCCATGCAAAGGCAGAAGGATTAGAGAAGTTATTAGGCAGTCAAGATATCATTGAATATGCAGCTTTTTTGCAAGTAAGTAGTACTAGTTCATCTTGTCCTAGTAGTTTTCTTTATTGGAATTGTCTAAATTTGTAAAATCAGACATTAATTATTTAAATAGGGAGATATGCAAAACATTACAAGTTCAGCCAGATTCAAAGTGTCAATGCTTTGTTTCTTTACATTACTTTTTAAGTTGCATTGTAAAAAAACTACTTTCAACTTGTATTTATTTATTGTTCTACTCTACTCTACAGGATATTTTGGAGCCTTTGGCAAGACTTTCTCTCTTACTGCAAAGAGAAGATGTAACCCTCGGTGATTTCCAGTTACATGTAGAAGCTACATCTGATGTGTTACAGCAGTGCATTACTAGGTAAACTAAAATAATTTGAACAATGAGTTTGAAATGATAATTACAGGAATCTTGACCTCAGAAAGTGCGTTTTAGTTCATCATGTTCATGATAGTCTACAGTAGATTTATTGTTATGCCACATGATTATCATTAAACTTGATTTATCTTAATATTCCAGGAAGTCTGATCGCCTTTCCAACATTTTAAACAACAAATCATACTGTGGATACAAATTAAGTGAAAGAAGGATGGGCAGTTTAAACAGTGAAAGTATTGTAAATGCTTTGCTGGGAGCTATTCAAGTACGGTTTAATGATTTGAATGAAGATTTGAAACCAACGGTAACAGCGTCTTTGAGGAATTGGCCGGCAGACTACTCAGATGCTGCAGGTAGGTTATCATTTTTACTACCTTCATTCAAGAAATAAATCTGTACACAGTACAAACATAATATAATTTTTTATAACATGATTATAATTTTCACTTTATTTATTTTATTTAAATGATATGATGGTGATGATGATCAAATTCATGATAGCAAATATTTCAATGTGACATAATAATTTGTATTTCTTTGTATTTATATTACTTATACTATTAATTCATTTTTAGCTGCAGCAGTCAAGGTATTGAATAAAATTGTACTTGTTATCTATGCTTTGGTGTCTAAACTAATTCTTGCTTATTATATAGTCATACATAAATATTTATTGCAAGTTTGGGGGCAATCATGTTAAATCTCTGATGATTAGATTTGGCCAGAAAGTTGAAACATCAGAACTTATGACAGAATGGAGACTCCTGAAAAGTTTGGTGTACCGTAGGTAGGTTACCATTATTGTCACTTAGCGTCTATCTGCCTTCCTGTTTTTTCCATTCTCAATTTGATGTATATACATATATATCTAAATGTAGAATACAACTTTCAAAAATCCTTGCACTTTCTTATGCTTGTTATGTACATTTGTACTATAGACATATTGTACAATAACCAACCTAGCATAAACCTAACCTGTACACTACACTCAGCTAACAGCAGACTTTCATCAATAACAATGCATTAATTACGTTTTAATATCATATACTTTATTATTATAGTAAATAAAAAAAATGTGACATTTGGGAAAACTTAATAAAATCTAGCACATTTCAGCAATTTTAGAATTAATTATATGTCATAATGTATCAGAGTGCTAATACCAATCTCAGTAAAAAATACTGGTTTTATTTTAGATCTTTTAAAGCTATAGCTAATTTTTAATGGTTCAGTGTCATGTTTTAAAACACTCATACATAAATATTTATTGCAGATTTTGGTGACAATCATGTTAAATCTCTGATGGTTAGATTTGGCCAGAAAGTTGAAACATCAGAACTTATGACAGAATGGAGACTCCTGAAAAGTTTGGTGTACCGTAGGTAGGTTACCATTATTGTCACTTAGCGTCTATCTGCCTGCCTGTTTTTTCCATTTTATGCATCATGAACAAATAAATTATGAAATAAAATATTTTTTATTAAATTTTTTAGATTCAAAGGGTCTGTAAATGCAACAAAAATGTCAGAGGTGAACACTTTCTGTGGTGCCATGGGTGTGGACAACATTCTGGCCATGTTTGATTTAGTCAACAGTCTGCCCCCTACATCAGTTCGGAAGGTAATTCAGGCAACAAGACATTTCAGCACCCAGACAAATCGGCATCCATTTTGGACATTTCTGGATCCGGACATTTCGTTTTTAAAAATATATGTATTAGGAAAGATTAAAGAATTGTTGCAGTAATATAAGAATTCGTAGATAAAATATGCATTACAAAAAAAATAATCAAATAATCATCATTTAATTAAACCCTAAATGATTATGTATGTATGAATAAACATCATTTAATTAAATCATAATTGATTGTTAGATATGTTGTTGTTTGAATAAACATTATTTAATTAAATCATAATTAATTGTAGTTATGCATTAATCAGTATTTTATGTATAAATCTGATAATTCCTCAATAGAGATCAAAAGTGTATAGCTTGTGTTCTCGTTTGATCCTAACCATGCCAAGAAATTGCCTCCGTTGAAATTCTGCAAATATCCCATAGAGCAAATTACATGGATGATTAATATTGACCATTTGGTATATGGCTGTGTTCTAAGCGACACGTACATGAAGGTCATAAATTAATTTGTTGAATGAAATCAAATCTTTAACTACTAATGGGTGCCGTAGGAGGTCTACCGGAATTTTTAGCTTAGATTTCTTGGCATGATCTGTTAAGACAACACAATACCTGAAAACTATATTTTATTGTTTTAATATCAAAAGCCATAAACATAACAGCGTGTGCAAGCCATACTGAGTAAATACCCAGAAACATATATAAAGGTAAACACTTTAGGGATTCTTTTTCTTACACAATGTCACACGACAGTTGTATACATCAATATATGCATATGTTTATTCAGTTTATCAAATTAGTTATATTATCAATTCCAGTGGTTTAATTCATACTCTTAACACTACATTTCATAGAAATAGATATATATTCTTACACAATGTAAGATAAAAAATAATTTAATTTAGTGAAGTATGATACTTATTTATTATAATTTGTGTGTATATGTTATATTTTTTTCAATAAAATACTCTTAATGTTAGGAGCACAATGATGACATAATTTGGCCACATATACCTCTTCCACCAACATGAGAAGGAAGGTTGAGGCCTGTATCCTAATATTATTTTGAATACATTGTTTCTAATTATTTGGTTAAAATATAGCTAATGTTAACTCTTTGGAAATCCTGTAATACGTAAAGCCCAAACCCACCTTCCGTCAGACGAGAAAGCAGACCATCCAGGTGTCCAGAAGGTGATGGACTACATATACGTGGATACGTAACAGTGTATTTGACATAGACTACTGGTGTGTTTCTATGTCCTCCATCCGTACTAACAACGACGTCGAGGGATGACATAACAGTGTCAAATAAATAACAAAAGGAATAAACCACTTAATAAGATACTTCTTCGAAGATACCATATACAATATTGATAATAATGTTGTAAATAGTGCAGGAAACAAATTAGTAATTTGTAAAAAGGTCAAACATAATTGCTATATATTAACACTAAACTTGCAAATTGAGTTCAGGTCCTCATACATATATCAGTGTCAGGAAATTTTAATTTTTGGTTCACTATATTTAGATCAAAGATAAATAATTTATAAGGTGCCGATTTGTCTAGATGCCGATTTGTCTGGGTGCCGATTTGTCTATGTTAGGTGATTTGTCCCGATGTCGATTTGTCTGGGTACCGAACTGTCTAGAATTCAGTTCGGAATGAATGTGCATTCAACCAAATGAAGCTGATGAAGACAGATAGACGACATAAACTGTCCAACAGGCACTTAAATGACTGCATGCTAATCAGACTACAATCTCCAAGCATCAAGGAGTTCAACCCTGATGCTGCCATTGACAAATGGATGGTAAGGCAAACAAAAAAAAATATGTCTGTTAAGTGTTTCCTGATAAGAAAAATGGGGTGTAGATAGGTAAAAACTTTTTTCAAAAAAACATTTAACATTGATTGGGTAAATGGGGGGAAAATGCCATAACAAAATGAAATATAAACTAGAGGCTCTCAAGAGCCTGTGTCGCTCACCTGATTCTACTTTGGTTTTGGAAATCATGTAAAAATAGATTAAAATCATAACAGATACCCTAATAATGAGTGAGGCCAAATTTGGTTTAATATATTGGTCCTGTAATTTAATAAAAAATCCTGGTGGCCATCTTGAACAGTAAATCGGCAACAAAGTAGCAACACTTAATCAGCACCTCATAAGAAACATTTATGCCATGTTTTGGTTTCATTCCATTCAGTGCACCTCTAGAAGAAGCATTTGTATGTATTTCCCATAGGGTCTTATGTTAAAGGAAGTCCCCCCATTGGCGGCCATCATGGATGAAGGATCAGCTTCAAAGTAACAAAACTTAGTCAGCACCTCATAAGGAACATTCATGCCATGTTTGTTTTCAATCCATTCAGTATGTGGTTCTCTAAAAGAAGTCATTTGTATGTATTGTCCATAGGGTCCTTTGTTAAACATTGCCCCCATCTGGCAGCCATCATGGATGAAGGATCAGCTTCAAAGTAACAACACTTGGTCAGCACCTCAAAAGGAACAAGCATGCCATGTTTGGTTTCATTCCATTCAATGGTTCTCTAAAAGAAAACATTTGTACCTATTTCTCATAGGGTCCTATGTTTAACTAAGTCCTCCGCTGGCGGCCATCTTAGATTATGGATCTGCTTCATAGTAACAACACTTGGTCAGCACCTCATAAGGAACATTCTTGCCATGTTTGGTTTCATTGCATTTAGTGGTTCTCTAAAAGAAGACATTTTTATGTATTTCCCATAGGGTCCTATGTTAAACTAAGTCCCCCGCTGGCTGCCATCTTGGATGATGGATCAGCTTCAAAGTAACAACACTTGGTCAGCACCTCATAAGGAACATTCTTGTCATGTCTGGTTTCATTCCATTCAGTGGTTCTCTAAAAGAAGACGTTTGTATGTATTTCCCATAGGGTCCCATGTTAAACTAAGTCCCCCGCTGGCGGCCATCTTGGATTATGGATCGGCTTCAAAGTAACAACACTCGGTCAGCAACTCATAAGGAACATTCATGCCATGTTTGGTTTCATTCCATTCAGTGGTTCTCTAAAAGAAGACATTTGTATGTATTTCTCATAGGGTCCCATGTTAAACTAAGTCCCCTGCAGGCGGCCATCTTGGATTATGGATCGGCTTCAAAGTAACAACACTCGGTCAGCACCTCATAAGGAACATTCATGCCATGTTTGGTTTCATTCCATTCAGTGGTTCTCTAAAAGAAGACATTTGTATGTATTTCCTATAGGGTCCAATGTTAAACTCAGTCCCCTGCTGGCGGCCATCTTGGATTATGGATCAGCTTCATAGTAACAACACTTGGTCAACACCTCATAAGGAACATTCATGCCATGTTTGGTTTCATTCCATTAAGTGGTTCTCTAAAAGAAGACATTTGTATGTATTTCCCATAGGGTCCCATGTTAAACTAAGTCCCCCGCTGGTGGCCATCTTGGATTATGGATCGGCTTCAAAGTAACAACACTCAGTCAGCACATCATAAGGAACATTCATGCCATGTTTGGTTTCATTCCATTCAGTGGTTCTCTAAAAGAAGACATTTGTATGTATTTCTCATAGGGTCCCATGTTAAACTAAGTCCCCTGCAGGCGGCCATCTATGATTATGGATCGGCTTCAAAGTAACAACACTCGGTCAGCACCTCATAAGGAACATTCATGCCATGTTTGGTTTCATTCCATTCAGTGGTTCTCTAAAAGAAGACATTTGTATGTATTTCCTATAGGGTCCCATGTTAAACTAAGTCCCAAGCTGGCGGCCATCTTGGATTATGGATCAGCTTCATAGTAACAACACTTGGTCAGCACCTCATAAGGAACATTCATGCCATGTTTGGTTTCATTCCATTCAGTGGTTCTCTAAAAGAAGACATTTGTATGTATTTCCCATAGGGTCCCATGTTAAACTAAGTCCCCCGCTGGCGGCCATCTTGGATTATGGATCAGCTTCAAAGTAACAACACTCAGTCAGCACCTCATAAGGAACATTCATACCATGTTTGGTTTCATTCCATTCAGTAGTTCTCTAAAAGAAGACGTTTGTATGTATTTCCCATAGGGTCCCATGTTAGTCTAAGTCCCCCCCTGGCGGCCATCTTGGATTAGGGATCAGCTTCAAAGTAACAACACTTGGTCAGCACCTCATAAGAAACATTCATACCATGTTTGGTTTCATTCCATTCAGTGGTTCTCTAAAAGAAGACATTTGTTGTATTTCCCATAGGGTCCTATGTTAAACTAAGTCCCCAGCTGGCGGCCATCTTGGATTATGGATCAGCTTCAAAGTAACAACACTCGGTCAGCACCTCATAAGAAACATTCCTGCCATGTTTGGTTTCATTCCATTCAGTGGTTCTCTAAAAGAAGACATTTGTATGTATTTCCCATAGGGTCCCATGTTAAACTAAGTCCCCCGCTGGCGGCCATCTTGGATTATGGATCGGCTTCAAAGTAACAACACTCGGTCAGCACCTCATAAGGAACATTCATACCATGTTTGGTTTCATTCCATTCAGTAGTTCTCTAAAAGAAGACATTTGTATGTATTTCCCATAGGGTCCCATGTTAAACTAAGTCCCCCGCTGGCGGCCATCTTGGATTATGGATCGACTTCAAAGTAACAACACTCGGTCAGCACCTCATAAGAAACATTCATGCCATGTTTGGTTTCATTCCATTCAGTGGTTCTCTAAAAGAAGACATTTGTATGTATTTCCCATAGGGTCCTATGTTAAACTAAGTCCCCCGCTGGTGGCCATCTTGGATGATGGATCCGCTACAAAGTAACAACACTTGGTCAGCACCTCATAAGGAATATTCATGCCATGTTTGGTTTCATTCCATTCAGTGGTTCTCTAGAAGAAGTTCAAAATGTAAAAAGTTAACGCCGACGACGGACGACGGACGCCAAGTGATGAGAAAAGCTCACTAGGCCCTTCGGGCCAGGTGAGCTAAAAAGCTAAAAGAATAGACTTTTTTGGCAGGACAAAACTAGGGTACTAGGTGAGTTAGCAGTAAACAAATATATTAATTATAAATGTGATAGATCAAACAAACACAAAATTATATTCATTTCTACAGTTTTTAAGTTTATTGATGCCACACATTCTTAATATTTTCAGATCTGTACCAATAAAGTCAAAACAAAGTTGTAAAATCATTTTCAAACGATGAAACTATATTTACATTGTAGAAAATGATATAAACTTAGAAGTCTGAATCAATGTTATTAATTCATTTACGGTGCATTCTGTTTTTGCAGATTACACCATCTGGGCAGAGAAGGAGAGGCTGTATGAAGCATACACCTTTAACTAACCCTAGAGCTACTGACTGTATTATTGTACATGATAATGTAGAAAATGAGAATGTTATTGTAGAGAATGTAGAGGATAAGAGGGCAGAGAATGTAGAGAATGAGAGGGTAGAGAATGAAGAGAATAAGAGGGCAGAGAATGTAGAGGATAAGAGGGCAGAGAATGAGAGGGTAGAGAATGTAGAGAATGAGAGGGTAGAGAATGAAGAGAATAAGAGGGTAGAGAATGTAGAGAATGAGAGGGTAGAGCATAAGAGGGTAGAGAGTGAGAATGAGAGGGGAGAGAATGTAGAGAATGACAGGGGAGAGTATGTAGAGAATGAGAGGGTACAGAATGTAGAGAATGAGAATGCTATTGTAGATAATGTGAAGGTAGATAACGAGACTAATGATTCTGGGAGTGATAATGATTCTGACTATGAGTCAGATTTTGAATTCGAACAGAATGAATCTACCAATGACTATCTTGTTTCCAAGTACTCTTGTGAGGAATAACTTTTAATCAGATCAATATATATTTGTAATGTATTATAATATATTCACATTATTCAATAAACTACAATTGTTATGAATCACAGGTTATAATATAAAACAAAATCAAAATTAACGTTTGTTCAATAGCATCTCATTTGATTTTCGAGTGAAAATATAGGTCTGGCAAAACTTGGTACCCTGTACCCTGTAGGCCCCAATGTCTGACGGAAAAAAACTCTGTAGGTGTCCCTTCACTTTAAGTTAAGATTAGGTTAGGGTAAGGCTTAAGGGGTTGACCCAGGGTTAGAGTTAGTTAAGTATAGTTGAAGTTCTATATCGTGGGACTCCTAAACTATAAAAAGAAAGCCGACAGAAGTCACAGCATAAATGGACCTGTATCTACTAATTTATATGTTATTGGATGTGTTGAAAACGAAGCAGACCTTTGTTCATAATTGTTTTGTATTTCTTCAAGTGCAGACGACGCCCTCCTTGCCATTTCCAGCGTAATCACACGGAATATATTTGTGTCTTTCTTCCAACTAACGTTGTTTTGGGCTTCGCGCTTTGGTGATCACGTGTTTGAAAATCCCGTAATTTGATTGGACCAATTTCCGGTGTATGTTGAAATTTAGTCATATTCTTTAGAGTAAACATTTACGAGAATTACAAAGACCTTGAAATGAATGCATCTATTTAGGGTAAATATACTGGTGATAATGTATTGAGTAACTAATTAACCGAAGAAGGCACAAACACCACGTCAATGATTTTTTTTTTGAGCGGTGTTAATGGAATTATCACCAGACCGGGAACTAATTTACGAGGATACTGTATTTATTTAAAGAACCCTTTTAAATTTCGGTCCAGTACATAAAATAAAGAGTTGACAAGGAAGTTCTCATATCCTTATGTCAAAGACAAAGTGTTAAAAATAATCTTTAAGTGTATTTTGCATAAATTCACAAATAATGGGGGTCTGCATTTCTGTATTATACTACTATTATACTTTTTCAGGCCAATTTTCCCTACTCTTTGTATTTTGTTACATTTATAACGTCACAGTACCCAAATTGCACCGAGTACCCAAATTGCACCTATTTAGCAAAAATAGCAGCGAAAATCTTACAAGTTTTCCTAGGGACTAAACAATTTGTATTTTTTATCATTTGACATTATGCACGTCTTTCAAATAGATAAATATATTTAAATATTCACAAAACATTCACAGTATATATAAACAGATAAAGTAATCGCTGGAAAATTTAAAATCTGCGGAAACGTCGCCATCATCGCAACGTCCACAAAAAGTCTTCTTTTAAAAATTTGCAAATAAAATATGTTACGGCCTCAGCATCCATTTCTTAAAAAAATGAATAGTAAACATGGACAAATGTCAAATTGTTCTAAATATTTGAAAAAATAAATAAAAACATATGTTTTTCGATTTTTGAGGACGTGAATTTAACATAGATGCAATTTGGGTACTCCTCATTACAGAACTATGGATCGTTTGGAGGTCGGTTCAAACCCATTTTTCTATGATTCAATATGGATTCAAAATTAAATTGGTGGAACTATATAGTAAATAAGGATACATCTACAAAATAAACACAAAATGGAAACTTTTGTCTGGATCATAAATAAAAGTAGGCGAAAAAACTGTCAAAATAGTTGCAATTTAGGTACCCTCACGTTAGTTCTCCAGACACGAAGGTCAAGTGAGCCTTTTCATCGCTTGGCATCCATCATCTGTCATCATCATTCTTCATCCATCCATTAGTTTTTCTCTAAATGTTAGATCCGAAACTACTCGCATGGCCAATTAGAATAAAGCTTGGCCATTATCAGTAATGGTATATTTGGTTTCTGATGATCCGACCTGCCAACCAACATGACAGACACTGCTACAAATAAAAGAGTTAAAATCAAAGTTTTGTCTATTATCTTGATAATCGCTATAGATAAAGAAAATCTGACAGGTCTGGAATGTTCAGAAGGAGCCTGTGCAAATTTTCCAGTTACATCAACACTGTCAGACGACTTTGCCCTTAAAAAACAAATTTTAACATTGGTTTTTATGTTTGCCTATTATCTTTAAAACTGTAATAGATAGATTTTTAATAGATATGATATATATTCAGAGGGCATTATACAGTGGGAAATCTACATGTAATGTTAAAATATTACCTCCCCTGTAAACACTGAAAAACTTCAATTTTTCAATGTTTGTTCCATTTTAGCAAGGGCACTATTATTAATAAATCCACAAGAAAACATTCTGCAACTTCTGGTAAATAGAAACAATTAAAAATGAATTAAAATCAAATCAAATTTTCCATATGATGTTATTGCTGTAAATATGGCGAGAACACAATGTGGGAACATAACATATTTTAGCCATTTTTAGGTATTGCAACATATAGACTTTGTGACACATTACTTATATACTTGGGCATTCTAGATTGAATACAATTTATAATATGAAGAAATTCTTCTTCATTTCTTCACATATTCTTGCATTTTGGTGCCGTGATGAAGATTTAAATAAGCCGAAAGCAATAAGACGAAAAAAAGATGATTTGAAAAACGAAGCAGAGTTAGACAGGAAAGATTTTTTTCACAACATTTGAAAGTATAGAACAAAAGAAGAAACTTTTGGATGATTTAAATCAACAGATTCTCAGTGCAATCGATTCGTAGGATATTGAAGAAGAAATTCTTAATACGGAAAAGTATACTTTAAACTTATAAACCAAACTAAGACACTTGCGTAATTTCATACAAAGTTAAGGGAATTCATGTAATCAAACAAATGAACAGTCTACTTCATCCAAACTTAAAATAGCAAACGATGAGTACAGCAGGCTATAGACCTTTGTGTAAAATATGTTTAAAATGTTGCAATGCGAATAATTCCTGGAGTACCAACTTCAATTTATTTTTTCTACTGGCTTTATAACTCTCTGGAAAATGCCAATTATAAGTATATGTATGCAGCTAGATCAGAGAAGTTCAGGGAAAATATTCCAAAGGAATCGATTCATATGCAGCAAAAATTAACATTAAAAATTAAAAACCAATTTTTCAGAGAACAATTGAAGGTCTTTCCACATTAAATTTCTTAATGATTGATAAGAAGTTACTTTCGAAGTTACTATTGGTGTCCAATTATAGGTTTCTTCATACTGATTCCAAAAAATATATGGTTTCTATATACTTTTATCTTTAATAAGGGAGATAATTTGCTACTTCTGGTTTAGAAAATGACACTTCCGGCCTCATATGAAAGCTTTATTTACACTGATTTCAAAAATATATGGTTTCTATACACTTTTGCCTTAAATATGGGAGATAATTTGCTACTTCTGGTTAAGAAAATGTCACTTCTAGTCTCATATGATAGCTTTCTTTGCACTGATTTCAAAAATATATGGTTTCTATATACTTTCACTTGAAATAAGGGAGATAAACAGCCACTTCCCGTTTACCAATGGTCACATCGGGTGACATAAGGTAGCTTACTTTACACCGATTCCGAAAAATATATGGTTTCTATATACTTTTCTTTCAAATAAGGGAAATAATTAGCTACTTCCAGTTTACTGAAGGTAACTGTTGATGTAGACGACAAGTTTTTTTTTTTAAAGACCTTGACTACCCATGAGGGTCTTGCACGTTCTGTATGTCATTTTAAGGTTACTGTATGCTGATTCTAAAAATATATTGTTTCTTAGTATTTTTCCCTTGCATAAGTGCAAAAATAGCTACATCAGGTTTGCACAAGGTCACTTCTGGTTGATATTTTTAAAAGTCATGTGTCACCCAACCCTTTTCAAAGGACCCTATCATAAACCAGAATGAAGAAATAATCAATTTACCTTAAAATTTAAAATTTCAAGGACAATAGCTCCTATAACATATCATCCTATTGCTTCGAACTGAATGTACTATTTCTTCATCTCAACAAACAAAAAAATAGAACCAGTTCTTTGATATCTAGCTTTTATAGTATGAGATAAGATGCACACACAAGCAAAGGGCAAAATTTAGAACATTACCTTGACCTATGACCTTGACACCATTTTCTTTTAGGTGGACCAAGGACATCAAATCAAGATATCCTAGGTCTTTATCACTTACAATTCATGAATTACATTTACACATATCATTTATGTCAAATACAAAAGGGGAAATAACTCTAAAATGGAGTCTCATTATCGCTTCAGTTAAAATTGACCGAAGCATCCTGAGGAATTAACGAGCAATGTGGAAAAATAAATTTGTTGATTTCTTTTACGGTTGAGAAGGAGATGTGCACAAAAGGAAAACAGTGTTTGGGGAGATAACTCTTACAATAAAAAGTGTTGCGTTTAACAGGGTGAGTTTCAAAAGTGCAATAACTGTTTGATATCATATGCAAAAAATCTATGCGACATCTTGCGAAACCACTTTATACTGCAAAAAAAAAAGGGTTTGGCGGAAGAAGAAAAAATAATAATCAGAACAAAATCAATAGGTCTTTCCACAGAAAAGTTGAAAGAAATAATTAAGTTACTAAGCAAATTCAAATGGACCTTAACCTGATGTAAACATTGCATGTGAAGTGATTGAGCAGACCGCAAATACATGTACAGAAATCAAGACGAGCCTTTTCTTAGAATTGTTAAAAAAATTGATAAAAATCTTTGTAATGGATAACCTACTTTATATTTATTTAAATATTTGTTTTTGATTTTTTAACCTTCACAGACACAACCGTTACATTCATGTAAAGACAATATTTCTATATTAAAAGTTCATGTGACAAAAGCAGACCTGTGTACTGGAAAACTTGGATGTCAAAAAAAAGTATATCTTTGGAAAGTTTTACATATTAAGGACTATGTGGAACATTCTGAAAATTAGTGACCTGAAAGATCTTTAGATTTTGTATGTACATGATTTTTTACATTTTTATGCCCCCGCAGTAGCGGTGGGGGCATTAAGTTTTACCCTTGCCCGTCTGTACATACGTACGAACGTACGTCCGTACGTCCCAAAATTGATTTCCGTTCTCTAACTTGAGTTTGCCTCAACTAAATGTTATGAAACTTATACACAATGCTTATTACCACAAAACACAGATCAAGTTCGAATTTTGGTGGCGTCACTTTAACCATTCTAGAGTTATGCCCCTTTATAAATGGAAAAATTGCAAAATATTTAGTTTCTGTTCTCTAACTTAAGTTTGCCTCAACCAAATGTTATGAAACTTATACACAATGCTTATAACCACAAAACACAGATCAAGTTTGAATTTTGGTGGCGTCACTTTAACCGTTCTAGAGTTACATGTATGCCCCTTTATAAATGGAAAAATTGCAAAATTTTAGTTTCTGTTCTCTAACTTAAGTTTGCCTCAACCAAATGTTATGAGACTTGCACACAATGCTTATTACTACAAAACTCAGATCAAGTTCAAATTTGAGTAGCGTCACTTTTACCGTTCTTCAGTTATGTCCATTTATAACTATATGATATGCAAGCGGGGGCATCATCTGTGTCCACATGTGGACACTATCCACATTTATTTTTATCAATATGCAGCAAAGATTAACATGTTTTTAATTTCAGCTTCACAAGCCTCTAATACAATTATCTCTTTAGACATGATAGACAAGGAACATAAAACATCATGTATTTTCATGTATATTTCTAGTAACACAGTTTAACAAATAATTTCTTTAAATTGTATGATTGCTGTTTAGAAATAACTTTTAATCAGTATTGTCACATGGCTTGTTTTACTATTGATTTTCTTGACTTTTTCTTAAGAAGAGTGACATTTCTATTGTTCTCTTGTCATCAGTTTTGCCACTGCTTAGAGGAAATAAGTATTGTACAAACTGATGTTACCCTCTTTAAATAAAGTATTTATTATCATTATATAAATAGAAACAATAAATAGTAAAAATTGTCAGCAAGACGAGATCTGCAAATAAGTCAACATGGGCAAAACTCCATATAGGCTTAAAGAATGATGATTTTTTTTGGGAGGGGGGTTGCCTTTTATCTTGAAAACTATAATAGATAGAGAAAAACTTTGCAATCAAAAATGATCCAGAAGACATGATCTACAAATAAGTCAAAATTGCCAAAATCTTTGGTCAAATCTTTTTTGGAGTTATTGCCCTTAAATGACAATTTTTAGCAATACTTTTGAGTTTTTGCATTTTATCTTGAAAATATAATATATAGATAAAAATTGAAATAGCATACAGGATCAGCAAGACAAGATCTACATATAAGTCAACATTGCCCATATTTTCAATCAACTCCTTATAGGAATTATTGCCCTAAATTGGTGATTTTTATGATTTTTTTTGCCTATTATCATGAAAAATATAATAAATAGTGGAAACTTTGAAAAGCAAAAATGATGAACAGGACAGGATCTACATTTGAACAGTATGTCAAGATAGCCGAAATTGTCAGTCAAACCTTTATAGGAGTTATTTTCTAAAGATGATTTTTATAATTTTTTGCATCTTTCGGGAAAACTTTGGTGAATAAAGAAAAACTGTAAACAGCAAAAATAATCAGCAAGAAAAGACAACAAAAAAGAGATTTTAATCCTGAATTATATTCTAGACTACAAGGTTGGAGAGTGGCCATAGCTGAAGATGCACATATTCTAGATGAGTTACACAGTCTCTAGTTTTCTATTCTTTCAGCACCCCATTATTATCTATTCTATTTTTGTCCGCCCATAATATTCTCTATTCTGTAAACCTAAAAACAAACAACAAAGATTGACTCAATGCATTTAAGTGCAAGAAAGTTGATCTGTACTAATAAAATCTATGACAAGTCTTTAATATTTTTGTCTCCATGAATTTCTTTATTTTGGTGATTAATTTGGTTGGCTCTTAAATCATCGCGCTGACATACTGTTAACTCAGTTGACTCCAATATCTGAAGGCTGGCAAAAAAATCATACAGACTTCAATCACCCTGTAGACTGCTAGAAGTAACTTGCAGTTGTTTCTTAGGTCCAGTATTAAATATTTGAGGTTAACATATTTAACAGTTGTCAATTTGGTAAGTTTTGTGGGCACAAAGGGTTAGCATTGAATGGGACAACTGAAAGAGCAAGTGCAAGACACTGTCTGAATGCTGCATAATGAATAAATAGATTAAACAATCACAATTCAAATGCAAGGTATAGATTTTACTTTAAAATCAAAAGAATATGGCGAATTTTCCTCAGAGTTTATTTCTCAATAAAAGCAATTGAAAAATCAAATATCAAATACGCCTAAAATCTATATTTAGTTTGTTGAATTTAAACGATGATCTTTTCAAATATGTATCGTTTATATAAATAATGAAAGTATGTAAAACTAAAAATATATACATAAAGAGTAAAAAAAAGGAAGCATGTTTTTGTCAATGACAAGGCTGATTGAAATACAGACCCTGTATCCATGCTTTGGTTACAAGAATCTTACAATGATCTGCTCTACTTTCTGTTTTAAAGACCATTCAGATTCTCTGGTTTTGTCGTAATTCAAAAATTTAAAGGCTAAAATTTCCTTGGCAGATGTAATAATTACCAGAACAGAAAGTAGAAAGTGTTGTCAGATTCTTGTAAGTGAAGCGTGGATACAGTATCTGTATTTCAATCAGGTGGGTTTTATTTTTAACAATATCAGCTTTTCAAAATTTAAATGATATATAAAACAAATCCCTGTAAGGACATATATATTTAAGCAAACATCTGATAAAAAATTATTTGTCTTACATGTACCTTTTAAGTGTAAATTTAATGTAAGTGAATTTATTGTTCAATGTGATTGTGTTTAGTTTCGAATGTGTCAACATCTCGATTCATTTGTTTAAGGGTTGTTTTAGAGTATTATTGGTACTGTATCTTGTATGTTGAACACATTTTTGTGCAAAAATGCTGAATTCGAATTTCCAAATACAAAAAAATGAATATCAGTATGTGTACATAATAACATTTCTTTTTAAGTCAGGATAATTTTACAATTTCAATTTTCAATAGACAGCTCAAGATTTTACTTTCAACATTAACATTTGTCTTGAAGAGGCATTAAAATTAGTTATGAAGTCTATCAAGTAACAGACATCATATCATGGATGCATAATTGTATGAAGATAAATCATGAAATTTTGTTTAACAGGACTCTTTAAGAACTGATGCTATTTAGCTTTCACAAGGAGTGGTCTAAGTAGTCAAACTACTGTATCACTGGCCTGTCAACACTGTGGTTGTGAGTTCAAATCCCACAGTTGGCATGTGCGCTGTCAATTCCAATCTTAAGGTGGCTTGGGTGTCTTCCTCCATCTTGCATTTTGAAATAGCAGATAACAATTGGTCTATATCTTTAATGAAATGTGCAAATTTCGAGAGTAGTATGTAATTCATGTGTAAGACTTTACGTGTAACTATAGAAAATTATGTGTTTTATCATATTTACGGGGAGATAACTCTGAAAAAGTAACTTTTATAAAAGAATGTGTTGTAAATTTACCTATTATATTATGTAGCAAGAAAACGAATGACCCCACTTTTGTACGACCGCAAAAAAATTTGCGGTCGTATATAGGTATCACGTCGTCGTCGTCCGAAGACATTTGGTTTCCGGACAATAACTTTAGTATAAGTGAATAGAAATCTATGAAATTTAAACACAAGGTTTATAACCACAAAAGGAAGGTTGGGATTTATTTTGGGGGTTGTAGTCCTAACAGTTTAGGAATTAGGGGCTAAATTGGGGCCCAAATAAGCATTTTTCTAGTTTCCAGACAATAACTTGTGGAAAGGTGTATGGATCTCTCTGAAATTATACCACAAGGTTCTATACCAGAAAGGCTTTGGGGGGGTTATGGCTCAAACAGTTTAGGAATAAGGGGCAAAAAAGGGGGAAAAACAAGGGTGTCCTGGTTAATGGACAATTACTTTTAAGTAAAATGTTAAGTTTGGATTACCTCCCTTACACTGCTTTTAAATTATTAAATGGGTAATGATGGTTGCAAACTTGGGGGGGGGGGGGGAATTCTCAACAGCATAGTGTATTTGCACAAAAGCAAAAAAAAAAAGGGGGGGGGGGGGCAATTCGTAACAGCATGGTGTATTGCACAATTGCAAAAAATTGAATATAAATTCAAATCATATAACCAATTCTAAGTTCTTTGACTACAGTTATTCTGTGTCAGAAACCTATTATGTGTCAAATATTTAATTACACTCCAAATTGAGACCTGTATCAAGTGCGAATATTGTGTCCCTTTTTGCCCCAACTGCTCAGCGGTCGTATCCAGCTGTGCTCGGCGAAGCAATTTATTTCTTTTTCTTATCTGAAAGCATATTATTAGAGCTATCTTCTCATATTTATCTTACAATTCTATGGTTTAGTTTTCTTTTAATCACACAAAATTGTGTTTTCCATGCATAATCTATATAAAATCTGACAATTTTGCACAACCTGTAGCATGAAAAAAAGCCCAGTGACCCATACTTTTTATTATATTTTTTAAAAAAGCATGATATAAACCACATTTTGACAAATTATTAAAAAATTCTATGGATATTAATGAAGACCCTATCCACCTTAATTGACTAGGATTGTCAGTTTTCCTACCGAAGGTCGTGGTTCTCTTCGGGCACTCCGGCTTCCTCCACGAATAAAAACTGAAACAATAGTGCTGAAAGTGGCTTAAATACCAATCAATCAATCAATCAATCAATAAATTAAAGTATTTGTGAATATATATAATTTATATTTCCCTTTTTTAAAGGGTGTCTGCAAAGAAGAATTCCACAAGCTATCACACACATTGGAAAGATGACCATCCTTCATAAGAGACAGTCACATGTAAAATATTGGTGTATAGTTGATCAAAGGGTTTAACAATGTAACAAGCTAGATGTTGACTCAATTGTTTCACTGTTAATCACTTAACCAAAAGCCATATATTCAGTGTAAAACAAGTCTGTGTGAACATCATGGAGCAGATGGAAAAGTACAATGTATGGGCTGCTTATTATTTTATAAAGAAACTGTTGAAAATGTATGTATAGTAAATGATAAAAAAAACTAGATTTATATAATAAATATATAAGAGTCTTCAGAAAACAACCAACCATCAAACCTTAAAGGTATAGGGTTGCCCTGAAATGATGATGCTACACAAGCAAGCAAGTATGCAAGTTTAAAGATTTTTACATGGAAACCTATAAGAAATATAACAAAAAAGATAAAATTGTATTGTATAGAAATACAAATATTTTGACACAAAAAACAGACTTTATATATGTCAGTGTCAATGTAAAAAACCCACAATCAATGACGAGGCTATTTGTTGTTCCAAAACATGTATTTCTTTGTATGACTTCATAATTGATGATTTGTTGGAGAGTGGGATAACAGGAACAGCAGAATTAAATCTTTAAATGCTTCACTAGGAACCCATGTCATTCTTGCACATTCAGAGCCTTGATTGATTGATTGTTGGTGTTTCAACACCACTATCAGCACTCTTAGCTACCATATATCATAGTGGCTAGTTGTTATTTGTTGAGGAAGCTAGAATGCCCAAAAAGGAACAACCCAACCTCTTCCTCAGGGCACCAATCAAAATACAGGATCTGTGAAGAGTTTTTAATGTGTTAGGAATTCAGGCCCTTGCAAGTAAGAGAGATTGGTTATTGGGAGGGACTGAATTATTCTGGTTAATAAATAGACTGAAATTTTGGAAAGAGTTTTGTTTCCTGGTAATATGTTTTGAGCCAAATATAAAATCTTAACCAATCTTTGGTAGATTAAATGTGCCCTGGGCCACTGAAAAAGACCCCTATTGATTTGTTTGATCACAGTAGTTGGTTAAAGGTCACTGTCACATCATCAATCAATTGACTGAAATTTAGGCCAATGTTTTGTTTTCTATCATTTGACATAAATTCTCCGTATACTTGAGTCAGATAACTTCACAGTCTTCATTATCAGAAATAAAAATTTCTGACTCAAAGATCTGTTTCTTTTACTACAAACCAATAAAGATCACAAGTCACCTTATGCGACCCTAGTGATTCTGTATTTTTTTACATGATCAGGTCAGTTTCTTCCAATTGTATTACTTGTTAATTTGTTCTCGTCCTGAACATGCATAAAATATTTGCCAGTGGACATTTAGCAACCAACAATCAATCAATCAATCAATCAATTTCTTCATTACATATTAAACTCATAAAGTCAACTTTATTTGGTTTATAGAAGCATTTAAAAGGTTTAAAATGTGGTGTAACAGGGGTTATTTACCTTCAGCCTCATTTCTACAGTTCATTAATTTATATTTGATTATTGTTCATTGAGTCCTTTTCCAATTGCTGGTTCGTAGCATTGTATTTTGTGAAAAGGTGTACACATCAGTATGACAAGTCTTGACATGGAACACCTGACTAAGACTTTAAATTCATGGTTTATTAATTCACAATCAAATTATTACAACAATTGTCACTGAATGGTTTATTTTTTGAGAAATTTCTTGAATTTAATAGTTGAAATAGAAGCAAATAAAACTTTTCATGATTGACGTAAATTTTTCTGCAGTTTTGTTGGGGAATTACTCCATACCAACTTGGCATGAGAAATCTTAGCCCAAATATTTTCCTGAATAGGGTTTCTATTTTAGCAATAATTATATTGGGAAAATGCCTGGTGCTCCCAATACCAGGAATGAGTTTCACAAAAAATCTTACGACTAAAGTTAATCGTGAGTAAACTGAATTATGTAAGACTTGTGATCAACTTAAGTCATAAGATTTTTTGTGAAACTGACTCCTGATGTGTATCCAAAACACCTTCCTTTTTCAGTATTTTGTTTTGAAAGTTTTTTCTTTATGTAAGAGGCCTTTTCAACTGCCAGGTCACCTAATTCTCAATTTGAATGTGAATCGTATAAAAAGAAAAAAAAATTCCAGATCTTGAAAAAGAATATAAATCATCTATTTTTACTTTCTACATATGTATGTATAGAAATGCGAATATAATTTTGTCTGCTAGTTTATAAATGAGAATATATGACCTACGTTAGATAAATTACATTTGATTGGCCAAGTAAATCCCTGTAATGTAATTTTGTGCAATTTTATAATCTGACAATAAAATGTCAAATCTGCATCAATGTAATAAAAAGTTTAAACAGATTAACCTATCTAACGACACATACAGAGTTAACTACCTATAATACATTGTATATTTTCTTACGATTTGTTTTTTGCCAGAGGCTGCCATCAATCTGTCAACAATGACGGTCAGGTGAAAATGACTAAATAAAGTTGTGTAGGTGAAAGTACATGGAGAAGTTTTGGTGCAGGTCTAGTCATTATAATGTTACATTGTGTTATGTGATAGAACATGCATTCATATATATCATTCTGAGGTTGCGGTGAAAAACTGGATTTTTTAACTAAACAAAGAGGAAACTATATCACCTACAAGGTAAGTAGTGTTAGTGAAAATGTCTATACCTGTATATTTCATGTATAGCCTGACAGTTAAAATTTCTTAACACCTCCTAATCAATTACCATTGGAATGAATGGAAAGATATATCAATGCTTTGATTTTACAGATTTTTCTGTGGCAGAAAAGTTGGCCTGTACTCTTTTTTAAATAAGTAATAATATCCCTCAACTGTTGTAACCAGCAACAGAGTTTATTGCAGAATTCTTGGTTGCAATGTCAATGCAATAAACAAAATATTATTTAAATTTTTATTTCTGATTAGCAAATACTAGAGAGCCCAGCATTTTGGGAATCTTCTTTTACCTGGTGGTCAATGAAGAAAATCTGCAGGTTCTTACCATTATTTCTATTGCAAAATACAAAAAATGTGTCTGTCCTTTGTAAAATATCGGTGGTCAAAACCTTTGGACCACCACTTTTCAAGAATTTTGGTCATTATGTCTCTGCAAATACATTATAAAAAGAACCACCAAAAAATATCTAAATCAAAAAGGGAAGAAAATAACGTTCAGTGTGAACCTTTTTTTTTTTTTTTTTTATCTTTTCCCATGCACTGAACCAGATCATTGTATTAAACTTATCATAAATGTCAAACAGTGAAATGACTACACATTTAACAAAATTTACCTACTTAAATCTATATTGTGTATAAGTGATTTTTGAAACTAGTCATGTGCAACCTATATAACTTGTGGTTTATAGAGAAAAAACATAAATTTGTCTCTACATAACAGGTAAGATATATTTTATATATCCTGGAACTGGTTAAGTCACAAATGAATTATAATGAATAAAGTCAAATGTACATACAGAACAGATCAGTACAAAGTACAGATTAAAAAGTATGTTTTCATGTTTTTTTCTTTCCTAACTTGCTACTGTTAAATTTTTGAGTTATTTCCCTTTGTTATAGTAAGAACATGTACAAATATTTTTCCACCTCTCGACATTGGTGGAGATTGACTTTTGTACAAGGCCTTGATGGGCAACAATGCCGGTGGCTAATTAATAAGATTATTATATGTTAATTTAAAAATCCTTTTTATTACTGTACATTAAAATGGAAGTGTAATAAAAGCGAAACTAATTGAATATATATGTGTACCTTATCATAATTCTTTATACTAATTATGAAATATTGAAGTATGAGTAAAAAAATATTGGATAGAAATCATGAATCAGTTAATGTTAGTAAACCATGCACTGCTGTTTAAAACTAATAATCCTTAAATGGACCCAAATACAATTTTATACCAGGACAGAATGACTTCAAACTGTTTGATAATCAGGCATAGACATTGATAGTGTTTCAAATAAGAGATGATTATATGTTGAGATTTTAATTGAAGTGTAAATAGTTATCTTTTATATATAAGTTGTTCTTTGTTTTGATGGTCATTAATAGTGTACTATTGTGGTAAATGACATATATTTGTTTGCTACTTTAATGATTGCAGGATTGGTGTTGATAAATTGTGTCAAGTGGATTCTACTTCATAGTCCAATGGATCAACAGGAACCAGTTGACAACTACAGTGGATACCTTGGACATGATCCACTCAATGTTGCAGTTTCCACGGCAGATGTTAAATTTACAGACTACCTACATCCTTTAGCAAGCAATTCACAGGACGTGGATAAGAATACAGGACCAGTTCCACAACATCCACACAAAGACATCAGATATCCACAGATAAATAGCGTCCAGAAGAAACCAGTGAATATGAGGGAGTTGAGATTTGATTCTGGTTAGTACCTATATACACTTTCAAACATGTAATTATATAACTGAGATTGAAAAAAGAGAAGAAAGAATCAAAAAGGAAAACCTAATCTGGATATATCAATCTCAAACTTTTTTTTTTTAACTTAGTAGACAAGGTTGGTGAATATTATCCATGTTTTTTCTCATGTTTTTTTTTTATTCAAGTTCAACAGAAAACTGAAAGATTAAAAACAGATATTAACCATAAAATTTTTAGAGTCAAATAATGGATTGATAAAGCCAAAGTAGAAATGATTCTGTTTCCATTTTAAAGACCTAATGATTTTTTTTTTAGTTTTTTAATCAAAAAGCAGATTTTTGCATGAAATTTTGGTGAAATTGAATACCTAATTAAAATTTCATACAGAAGAAATTGGGGGAATTCCAAAATAAATTTAGTGGTGAGGGTGTTGGAATGCACTTTTTATTTCATCCACCAAGTAAATGAAATTTTAATTGATCATTTCCTTTATTGTTCAGGCTATATTTCTAAAATAATCACCACCTGTCATATTTTACTAGAATTGCCTTCCAACCCCACTCATCATTCAATTTTGAACAGCCATATTCATAGACAACTGAGATTTAACATTTATCAGAACTCAGAGCTTTATCATTGCTTAGAAAAAGATTATTTTGCTTACAGAATTTACAATTCATCAAAAAGAAGTATTTTTCTTTTTTAGCTCACCTGGGCCCGAAGGACCCCATGTGAGCTTATGCCATCACTTGGCATCCGTTGTCATCCATCGTCTGTCGTCGTAAACTATTTCAAGAATCTTCTCCTCTGAAACTAATGGGCCAAATACCTTCAAACTTTAACTGAATGTTCCTTAGGTTATCTAGTTTATAAATTCTATCCGAAGTTTTGATCCATCAACAAACATGGCCTCCATGGCTAAAAATAGAGGTCAAATGCAGTTTTTGGCTTATATCTCAAAAACTAAAGCATTTAGAGCAAATCTGACTGGGTAAAAATGTTTTACAGGTCAAGATCTATCAGCCCTGAAATTTTCAGACAAACCAAACTACCCATTGTTGGTTGCTGCCACTTAATTGGTAATTTTAAGGAAATTTTGCAGTTTTTGGTTATTATCTTGAATATTATTGAAGATAAAGATAAACTGTAAACAGCAAAAATGTTCAGCAAAGTAAGATCTACAAAAAAGTTAATATGACCAAAATTGTCAATTAAACCTTAAGGAGTTATTGCCCTTTAAAGACAATTTTTCACAATTTGTTCATCATGTTTTCTAACTTTTAAAAATCTTCTCCTCTGAAACTACTGGGCCTAATACTTCTAAACTTTAACTGAATGTTCCTTAGGGTAACTGGTTTATAAAGTGTATCCAAAGTTTTGATCCATTAACAAACATGGCCGTCATGGCTAAAAATAGAACATAGGGGTCAAATGCAGTTTTTGGCTTTTATCTCAAAACTATAGCAGTTAGAGCAAAAGTGACATGGAGTTAAAGTGATGAATAAGTCAAGATCTATCTGCTATGAAATTTTCAGAACAATTGGACCTCCCATTGTAGGGTTACTGTCCGAAATAGTTTATTTTTAATGAAATTTTACTGTTTTTGGTTATTATCTTTGATATTATAATAGATAGAGAGAAAGTGTAAAGGCAAAAATGTTCAGCTAAGTAGGATCTACAAATAAGTCAAATGATCAAAATAGTCAATTGACTTTTTAAGGAGTTATTGCCCTTGAAACGTTTATTTTTTACATTTTTTCGTGCAAGTCTATTACTTTTTCAAAAATCTTCATCTCTGAAACTACAATGTACTGTGCTTAATACTTCCAAACTTCAACTGAATGTTCCTTAGGGTATCTAGTTTATAAAATTTATCCGAAGTTTTGATCTATCAACAAACATGGCCTCCATGGCTAAAAAAAAGGGACAAAAGCATTTTTGGCTTATATCTCAAAAACTACAGCAGTTAGAGCAAAAGTGAAAGGGAGTTAAAGTGATAAATGGGTCATGATCTATCTGTTATGAAATTTTCAGACAAGTTCGACAACCCATTGTTGGGTTACTGTTGGAAATAGTTTGTTTTTATTAAATTTTACTGTTTTTGGTTATTTTCTTTAATATTATAATAGATAGAGAGAATGTATTAATGGGAATAAATGTTCAGCTAAGTTACATCTACAATTAAGTCAACATGATCAAAATTGACCCCTTAAGGAGTTATTGCCCTTTAAACGTTTTTTTTAAACATTTTTTGTGAAAGTCTAATTACTTTTTCAAAAATCTTTTTCTCTGAAACTACTTGGCCAAATACTTAAAAACTTCAATCGAATGTTCTTTAGGGTATCTAGTTTATAGATTGTATTTGGGGATTTGATTCATTCAAAAACATGGCGGCAGTTTCTAAAAATAGAACATAGGGGTCAAATGAAGTTTTTGGCATTCATCTCAAAAACTAAAGCAGTAAGAGCAAAACTGACATAGGTAAAAGTGTTAAACAGATTTAGATCTACATGTCAAGTAATCTTCAGACCAATAGGACAACTTATTGTTGGGTTACTGTCCAGAAATAGTTAATTTTTAGGAAATTTTACAGTTTTGAGTTATGTATTATCTTTAATATTATAATAGAAAGAGAGATAGTGTAAATGACAAAATTGTTCAACAAAGTAAGATCTACAAATAAGTCAAATGCCTGAAACTGAAATTACAGGTGAGCTATATCAGGCTCTCATGAGCCTCTTGTTTGGGGTAAAAATATAATCTCAGAAGATTTTTATATATTTATTGATATTTGATGCCCTGATACTATAGTAGGTCACATTATGTTTTATTGTTTTTACTTTGTGTTCACCTAGATGCCTTTTGGTTTCTTGTTTCATTTGGTTGCTGCCACATAGACCTTTGCCTAATTTTTTTATTTTAAATTTTTGAAGTAAAGTTTTGTTTTATTTTACCCCTGCTTTAAAAAAGTGGGGGTATACTGTTTTACCTCTGTCTGTCCGTCAGTCCATCCATTCATCAGTCCGTCCGTCAGTCCATCCGTCAGTTCATCTGTCCGTCTGTCCCATGAATATTTTTGTCGCATCTTTCTCAGGAACTACATCATAAGGATTTCTGAAATTTGGTTTCAGGATTTATATAAGTCAGCTATACCGTGTGATGCATTTTCAGATTCATCACTCAACAACTTCCTGTTTACCGAACACTTGTATCATTTTACACATGATAACTAAGTAGTAAATTTTCGTCACATTTTTCTCAGGAACTATAATACAAGGATTTCTAAAATTTGGTTTCAGGGTTTATATAAGTCAGCTTTACCGTGTGATGCGTTTTCAGATTCATCATTCAACAACTTCCTGTTTACCGAAATATTTGGGTGGGGGTATCATCAGTGAGCAGTAGCTCGCCGTTTCACTTGTTTAATTTAGACAGACAACAGATAAAAAAACATTGATTTGATGCAGAGTAATCATAGCCTAATTTAAAGAATACATATGTATATATTTCATTCATCAGAAAGTAACTAGGAATTCATGTTTGAAAATTAAACTTTATAAAACTGTATAGTACAATGCTGTTGACTTAAAGTTAGTCGGAAGAAAGTTCTTATTACATGCATATTAAGAGATGGAAGAATAGCTTCAGAATTTATGAACATTTCTTTATGATATGATTCTTTTGTTTCCTTTTCTTCTTGTCAGAAAAAAATAAAAAATTTTATATGAATTCATATTTAGTGATCATTTCTATCATTTAGTATAAAGATTCAATAGTGACTTTAACTAGACTTTATTCCCTTGAAATATTAATTGATAATCAGTAACCTTCTTTTGCCAGTATGAATAGGAGTACTAATATAGCCGTAAATTTTGGGGCCTTACCAAACCTTTTGCTAAAACTTTGTAAAAAGAATATTCAGATTTATATGTTTGGATATGTAATAAACTATTGATGTTAAAAAAAATGAATGTTTGTAGTGATGAATGACTTAAAAGAAATGTGACTATATTCAAATATCTTACAACAGTGTTATCTAGAAAAAGCTTATTGATAAGTTTATTTAATGGATTAATAAGTTTCAATGGATTATATTGAAAATTACGAGCTTAAAAATATAACAATACAAATTAGGAAATGATTTATGCCTGGACTGTAAAAAAATAATTTGAAAATAAAGACGAAGATTAAAAACAAAATTAAAGCTCTCGTTTCTGATTATTTGATTTGAGGATTTTTTGTAAAGAAAGATTTTTAAAAGTCTCATCGCAATTGCTACTTTTAACCACAGCGAGAAAGTTCATATAGTGCACTTAGTTTCAGTATTTTTGCCAGTAAATGATTGTTTCGTCTATAATAGAATATGTTTGCTTTGTATAAAATGCATGCTGATGATATAATAGTACAAGTAACCTTTGTATAAAATGCATGCTGACGATATAATAGTACAAGTAACCTTTTGGTGAAGTTTGATGAGTAAGATGTAAATTATATCAAGTAACAAGAAAAGTCATATGAACTTTCTTGCTCCTATTTTGAATATTATAAATCCTCAAACATTAATACCAATTGTAATATATATAGTAATGTATACCCAGCATATTGGTCGTGATTAAACAGAAGCAGTTGGTTGTGTGAGTTTTCTTCAGTCTTAATCCTTTTTATATATACAGTGGAGAAATATCATTGTAATTCATTAATATTGATATTTTTTTTAAACATTTGAAAATGGGTAGAATTCATTGAAAAAATCATTTATCTATTTGAAAAAATATTTTGAATTGAAACATTTAATATATAACCTGTAGTTTGTTTCCCCTATATCAAGTATTATTAAAAAAAGTTGTGAAGATATTTGTACAAATTAGTGGTAAACTCTGGTGAACAGTAGGCTATACAATACTGGAGAAAGTCCAATTCACTGGTTGTGGTCAGTAATTAGGGTAGATAGTGAACGTCCTACGTTTTAAATAATGATTTTGCGTGGACAGATTTTTGCCCCC